CACAAAGGCTGAGGCCTTCTGATGTTTACCATCACACCTGCTTTAGTTCCTTACCAATGTAAGATATCTAACTGCAAAGCAATGGATCTAAGTTATCTACTTTTAAGGTAAAGCAGAATTAAATATCCAAATAGAATAAATAGTATTTTTATGAATTTGCCATCTTATTCTTGAGGCTTGGTTTCAAATGACTTCTGGCTTATGGCAAAATCAAATCCACTCTCAAAAAATATGAGATTGCCATCTGTAAGAGTTTACAAAAGAATATGATGCCATTCCCAGCAACCCTCTTAGTTACCAGTGCCCAAAAACTACTTCAAGCAATGATGGCATCATGGGAATACGTGTGTAGCCTCATAAAGTGAAGAGTTTTCCCCACACATGTAATGACTTAGATAAATTTTAATACTGTGGGATATCAGATAAAATTAAGAAATTATTATTAATTTTAGGTGTGATGATACTGTTTTTTAGAGATACATACTCAAATATTTGCAAATCAAACCTATGATGAAAGGGATTTATTCCAAAACAATCTGTAGAGAAGGGGCCAGGGGAGGGAATGTGAGGGAGCTGGTGATGAGTACATGGGATTCATGATCCTATTCACTCCACTTCTGTATATGTTCTTCACAATAAAATGTTAAGCCAAATCGTTTTCCATCCCTGGTAGATGGGAGATGTAAGAGAAATAGAATCGCCCTGGATTAGGGCATGGGGAGACCTGGGAGGATGCACTGTCTGCCTGCTCGCTGTGTGACTGTGGACTACCTTTATGTTTTCTGTGCCCACTGCCTTGTCATCCTGTCTATGAAGTGTGCAATGCACATAATCACACACACACACACACACACACACACACACACACACACACACCCCTTCCAGACAGGTTAAAGGGAGTCTGAACAAAACAAGATACTGTTTGTGTAGTATTTTGAGCTCCTTGGGAGAAAGCTACAACATCAGTGATGTATCATTATCCTAACCCAGCACACAGAGGTGTTTTGTGAAGTTTAGTTTAGATGATTCAGGATTCCCAGAAACCCCACAGTTTTTTCAGAAACTACCTCATCCTTCATTCTCTCAGCCAACTGAGAAAAAAGGATCAGAAACAAAACACCCTGCTTCTTGCTTCCACACAGGAGGCGTGGGGCAGCTCTGTTTACTCCTCCGACACAAAGCCCTTGTTTATGTGCGACAGATGGTAGTACGTTTCTCTTCTCTTCTCTCTCCCTCCCTCCCTCTCTTCATCTGTTCCCCTCTGTTTCTTTGTCCCCCTCCATTTTCCGTTTTCTCCAATCCTTCTCAGTCTCACACCACTTTTCCTGAATTGACTCAAGGGCCAGCAAGAAATATACACACGCAGATTGCCAAGTCGTAGAGGAATGGCTTTGTGTCTACTATGTATTCTATCCAGCTGCTCGCACACGGTCACCTCTTGTTTCACAGTACTCATATTTGAAATGCGTTTTTGAAGACAGAGTGACACACCTTTGAAACTGCAGGGGGCTCAGGGCAAACATGAAAAGACCCATAAATATGTATGTGGCAAATTTCCATGGGTTTCCTTCACAAAGTAAAAAGTAACCACAGTCAATGCGTGTGAGTGTGCACACGCGTGCACGCACGCACACACACACACACACATACACACACGTGTTCCTTCCAGGCCTGGCCACTGTCAAAGAATAAATGTAAACCTAACCTCTTACCACATAATTTACTGCAGTAAGCATCATCTACAAACCAGCCTGGGGGAGGGGAAGGGAGCTGTTCAGGACCAGATATGCAAGAGACTTCTCTCCTTTCATATAAAAAGCTGGTTCCTGGCCGGGCACGGTGGCTCACGCCTGTAATCCCAGCACTTTGGGAGGCCGAGGCGGGTGGATCACGAGGTCAAGAGATCGAGACCATCCTGGTCAACATGGTGAAACCCCGTCCCTACTAAAAATACAAAAAATTAGCTGGGCATGGTGGCACGTGCTTGTAATCCCAGCTACTCAGGAGGCTGAGGCAGGAGAATTGCCTGAACCTAGGAGGCGGAGGTTGCGGTGAGCTGAGATCGCGCCATTGCACTCCAGCCTGGGTAACAAGAGCGAAACTCCGTCTCAAAAAAAAAAAAAAAAAAATGCTGGTTCCTCTCTTTCTCAGATCCAGTAAGTCACTTATTCTTTCCCAGCTTCTGTTTCTTCTTCTGAAAATGAAGATTTTAGAATGTATAGGTGATGTATAGAGTCTTTTTCAGCTCTAAATTTCTATGATTCAAAGTTTTTACAGAATTCCCATAATATGAATCTACCTGACACCCAAATACCTGTGGGTGCAGGGACAGATCTGTTGGAATCAACAAACCAATGATGAGTGTGTAAAACCAGTGACTGAGCAATGACCTGTGTAGTGGCAGAGGAGAGAAGGTCAGAGCAAAGGGAAAAGAAAAAGATGGTATTCAGTTCAGTTGGGAAATGACTCATCTATAAGTAAAGTCAGAGAAGGGCATCAGAAAGGAAAGAACTGCCATAATAGATACCAAGCAAGAGTAGGAGGCAATATTTGGCATCTGCCTGTATGTCTAGAAGAAAAGATGGCAAAAAAGCGAGTTGTGCAACAGGAGGTGTGCACAGGTCCTGCTTGGCTCAGGTCCTGCTTGGTCACCTGAAATGCATTCTCAGACCCCAAGCATGCTTCAGACAGAGACATTCTCCAAGAACGAGCACACTGGCACTCTTAGAAGAGTCCTTAATGTGATGCCCTGTTCTACACAGGGATAATAACGATCCCCCATGGCCACCCCGCACCTGCAGACAAGAAAGAGTAAATACTCATGGTTTAAAAAGATGAAATGACTGTTTGAGAACTAATAGCTACATCTGCAAATAATTAGCTCCAGGATTTATTACCAATTAGGACTATAAATCTCTGCTTACTTTGGCTCCTGAAAAGTTGATTTCACTGGGGAGTGTGTGAGGGGGTGGGGACAAAGTCATTTGAGACAAGGAGGAAGAAATCCAAGCTTAAAAAGATACACTTCAAATTCAAAAGAGAGCAAGATTTCCCAAGCACCACAGCAGCAAAGCAGGCTTGATTTGTGGTTCTAAGCAAACCAGCCCAGCAGATGCCTGCAGGGTTAATAAGTCAAAGAGACTGACGCTACTCAGAGGAGGATGTTAGGGATGGGGAAGGAGGTTGCATACTCTGTGGACCCCAGTGGCTAAGCCATCGTATGGCCTGAGTGGGCAGTGGAACACAGGCATCAGCCACAGCGCATTCTCTCAGGGATACGCTGACCATTGGAATCGCCTGTGGAGCTTTAAAAACATACCTATGCTTGGGTTATACTGAAGACTAATTACATTGGAATCTCCAGAATGGGGCTTGGGTATCAGAGTGGTTCAAAAAATGCCCCAGGTGACTTTCAAGTACAGCCAGCCAGGGTTGAGAACCACCAGTTGCCTCGTTTCATCCTCAAGCACTCCCATGTTAAGAGGGTTGCTATAGCTCTCGTGGTTTTACAGAGACTGCTAAGGAACAGAGAGGCTAAGTAATGGGGACCAGGGTTACACAGCTAATACTGATGAAGGAAGGATTTGAACCCAGAGCCCAAACTCTTACTTATCATGTTCTATGGACTCCAAGGTTATGGTTCTTAGACTTCCAGGCTCTGAGCCTTCACAGTCTACTCAAGATAGAAAATAGGACTCAGGCCAGGCGTGGTAGCTCATGCCTGTAATCCCAGCACATTGGGAGGTGGAAGAGGGCAGATCACTTGAGTCCAAGAGCTTGAGACCAGCCTGGGTAACATGGTGAAACCTCATCTCTACAAAAATACAAAAATTAACTGGCATGCGCCTGTGGTCACAGCTACTTGAGAGGCCAAGGCAGGAGAATCTGCCTGGGCTTGAGCCCAGGAGGCAGAAGTTGCAAGAAGCCGAGATCACACCACTGCACTCCAGCCTGGACAACAGAGTGAGACCCTGTCTCAAAAAAAAAAAAAGAAAGAAAATAGGGACTCATAAATGACTTTTATGTATTTTTTGATCACAAAAATGAAACATTAGCTCATATTAATGCTACATATTAGCGAGGGAGGCAAGTTTCTTTCCTTTGGTTGGAATGACATCAACACAGAGGTTGCACTGCACATTTCCTGCTCATCAGGAGTTCTCAGTTATTCAGTCCACAAACATTAAGTACCAATTTTCTGCAGAGTCTATAAAATAGAAACGACCCTGTGCAGATACTCACACAACAGATGTTCTAAAGGCCATAATGGTGGCATGCACTAGACACCCTGAAACCACACAGAAGAAAGCAGGCAGCTTGGAGTGGTCGTGATACATTACGCCTTTGGTGAGTGTAAAATGGCAAAGTAAATCACAGGATAATATACACATGCTGCTAAGAAGTGAAACAAGAGATGGAGTCCCTAAGTGGAGGCAGGGAATAATAAAGTCTTATGAGAAGGTTGAGAATATACTGTTGCTGATCCATAAATATTTAACCCAGGGTAGAAAATGCAAATTCCTAGCTGACAGCTACATGAGTGTAATGAGCTGGATGTCAGCAGGGGAGGTGGGGACTGAGGTGACCTAGAGCGCCTGTATCCTGTCTAAAGAGGAAGCTAGTTCTCACCACCAGCCAAAAATCACCATGTAGAAATGTGGATGCAGTGTTAGATCTTTTGACTTTTTAGGAAAATCTGTAAACATGGGTTACTCAACGCAGGATCTCTCAATTTTTAAATGGCATCTAATTCAAGTCTTTTCAAAACACCACGTAAACCAAAGAAAATACATTACCCCCCCTCCCCCGCCAACCGCCGAGCTTTGATTTCATCATTGAAGGTGATCTCTCTGGTAGTTCCAGGATCCCAGAGCAACTGCTTATTCACCTGTACCCTTACCCCTCGCCCCACAGGTCTGCTCATTTATTTTGGATATGGCATCTGGAACAGCACCCTGGAAATCAGCGCCCGAGAAGAGGCCCTGCACCAAAGCACTTACCAGCGCTACGACGTGGATGACCCCTTCTCAGTGGAAGAGGGTTTCTCCTACGCCACAGAGGGCGAGAGCCAGGAGGACTGGGGCGGGCCCACCGAAGACAAAGGCTTCTATTACCAACAGATGTCAGATGCGAAGGCAAACGGCCGGACAAGAAGCAAAGCGAAGAGCAAAAGCAAACACAAACAGAACTCAGAAGTCCTGATTGCAAATGATGAGTTAGATTACTCTCCAGAGTAAGAGAAACACTCAAGTGGGTAGAAATGGTGATGATTGATTTTCAGTAACTTAACCTGTGGGCTAGAAGGTGAAAACTTTTTTGGCTCTCATTTCACAAATCCAGCCTTCCCCAAATTCAATCCCTAGTCATAGCCTGTCATTTGCTACTTTTGCTCTTCAGGATAGTTCTGTTGAAGGGCTTAACCTGGGTCCCCTAACTGGACGCTTGTTAAAAAAAAAAAAATGCTAAACAAGAGGTTACATGAAATTTCATCTTAGGTGCAACCATCAGCGCTGATGGTAGCAAATGTTTCCTAGGCCTTTGCTTTGCTGGTTGAATCTTTTTGCTTCTTATTGAGATCCCAAGAAGCAAGGAGCAAACTTCTTGGACCCCACTGAGGCTGCAGCTCCTCCTGGAGATATGCCCAAGCAGAGGCTGTGGGCATAAGGCAGAATTTCAGTCACCTGAGACAGGAGGACAAAGCTCTGTTCTTGGCATGTCAGCCTGCACGCTGCTCCCTGAGGTCAGGGTGCGTAGGTGGACATTGGCACTTCCTGAGCAAGCAACATTTTATCCTGCAATCTCACCCAAAATTAATTCATGGAGAAGACGTATGCTTTTTTTTTTTTTTTATTATTCACCAACATTCTCACAGCTTCCAAACTATAATTTTAGGATCCAGCAAAGGTCAGGGACTCTGAGACCATTTTCCCAAAGGTTTCAGATTCGCCATAAAGCAGTCATGCAGACCCAGTAATATGGTAAGAAGCACCATCAAAGCTCTACTTAAATGCTCAGAAGAAAATTAAATAACCATCTCTTGCAGGGAAGGCCAGAGGGCATTGGCAGAAATTAACTCTCTGTCATGGCTTCTCTGATACCAGATTCCAGCTCCTGGTGATATGTTGACAGAGGGCAAAGATGGAGCATGATTTCATGGTACTAATATGCCTTGAAGAAGTAGGTTGTTTGTTTTATAATCAGATAAAAATCTTTACAAGAAGAAGTGACCCAGCCACTGAGATCACATTGCAAATTCTGTTTCATATTTCTTAAATTATAAATTCTGTAGTTTTTTGAGATATGCAATCATTTGATTGGTGAGTGCTACTCTGGAAACGAAACATGTTGAAGTACAGCTACCTAGGTAGTTGCATTCCATGAGATCACATTTCACTTCTGAACCTTATTCCCTGGGGGTAGCTCACTTTCAAAGGTGTATTTTTTTTCCTGTTATTTCCCAGATTCGTTTCACTTAAACCCAGAGAAATACCTACCTGGTAAAATGTAAATTTTGATCATAAAAGGGGTTATTAAAAGAATTTTCTCAGAAACAGAATAGATGAGAGAATTTGCAAAGAAAAAAAAACACATGGGCTATAATATAAATTCTACTCTTGGATTACAAGGATTCCATGGCTGCACTGAGATGTGTACAAATGTATGTGAAGGCACAATTCAAATGAAGCTATTCTAAAATTAACCAAGCTATATTAAAATTAATCAAGCTATTAATACACTCTTCATGAGAATTTCCTGGAAGAGGGACAAAAGAAGAAATTCCTTGCCCTTTCTCTCCTGGATGTATCAGTATGCCAAAAGTTTTCCAGAACATAATTCGCTAACATTCAAGTCTATTCTTTCTTAAAGGCTGAGGCTTATGCCATCTTGGCATGCTTTAGGATTATGGCAAGGACATAAAAGTCCATTTTTTCATTCAACTAACACTGGTTGAGAATATACCAAATGCTAAGTGACAGGAATGAATAGAAGCACGACATCTGCCCTTGGGGATTACAGTCCATGGATGAACAGCACTGGAGCCTGGTAAATGCAGATAAAATGACAAATTTGACAAGTCTCCAGACTGATGCACTGGGTTTTAACATACATATAAAGATCAATTGAAACTAGTTTTTTAAAAATATGCTTTAAATAAATTACATATCATAATCATAGCCAATGTATGCCATTCAACTAAAATAACTGCAATTTTCTAGATATTTTTTATTCTTCTGTAGTAATTGTTTAGAACTCTGGTTTCCTGAGGTCATTTTGTCATTTTAATGTCATGCTTGACAATGTTGTGTTTTCTCTTCCCTAGAGTTAACCATAAAGACACAGTGCCTAGTTGTGAAATACATCATTGGGAATTAATTATAAACTAATTATCGGTCATCTTTTGAAAACAAAGTTTTGAACTGGCTATAGGACTCAACAAATCTGCTTGGGTTAAATACAATCTGTTAAGCTTGATACACAGATAGATGAGGTCTCTATTCTCATCAAATATGAGAATAGAGAAATAGGAGTGCAAAATAGCAAGATCTTAGCATAGGTGAAAGAGCTTCCTTTTAGTAGTGAGGTTTAAGTTATTAAAGTAACAGTAACCTGGTGGCAGATGTATGCAGTTTCTATAGAATGGGAATGGAAAACACATGCTTTGGTTAACACCATTGGTATTGATCTTGTGCAGATTCTATGAACCACTCTCATTTCAGGAGCCAGTTTTCCCAAATGGTATATATGTATATTTTAAGCTTAGGTCTCTTTATTTTTCTCAAGTTGATAGGTCATCTCCCTGACAACCTTAGTTTAAAAAAAAAAAACACTATAATAGAAAAGGTTTCTTCAGGCACATAGACATGTGTGTCCACAGGTTTACCAGCTTCTGTGAAACAGCCCCAGATTTCACAATGCAGTTTTCAAATACCATCAATCACTAGAATAACAATATTACTATTTTCCTAACAGGTTTCTTAACGATGTATTTGTGGGACTACATTAAAAGTAAGATCACCTTGTAATTATCTTAGAAACCTCGTTCCTTGAATGGGATCCAAGGAAGACCTACATTTTATTGAATTCTGTATAGAAAAAAGCTGTCCGAGTGAGATTTCAATGGGTGAATTTGTGGTTTGGAGCCAATTGCTTGATTTTTTCAGATTTTATTCTACTTATTTATTGGTACTCTGCTTCATTTCAAAAGGATTTGAGGCAGCTATTATAATATATATATTACAAAACAAAAATTAAGTGAGGAACTCAGGGCAAATAAAAACAGAAACAGAAATGATAACACAAAACTGGATGTGTATTTAGTGCATAAATGCAGAACTCTGATATACTTTACTAAATTTGCCAATGAGGGGCACCATGAAAAATAATCGAATTTATGGTAATGACAAGAAGAGGTACTTCTGCATGATAAGAACAAATTTTTCCCCATGCAGGCAGAGGCTTGAAATAGCATAGATCATTAAAATCCACAGATAATCTTCAAACCCAGATTTTGCTAGCTACATGTGTCTGACAGATAGTGGGTATTCAAGAAATATCTGATGATTAAAAGAATGAATGAATTGGAGGAAAATGAAATATTTATTCAACAATTATTTGTGGAGTGCTGATTATGTACTGCGGCAGATATTGATCCCATAATAAGTCAGATAAAAAATCCAGCTCTTAAGAAGTAGGGGAAATAGAGCTAGATCTGGTGGCATGTGCCTGTGATCCCAGATACTTGACAGACTGAGGCAAGAGGATCACTTGAGCCCAGGAGTTCAAGGCTGCAGTGAGCTATGATCATGCCACTGTACTCCAGCCTGGGTAACAGAAAAATACCCTGTCTCTTAAAAGGAAAAATAAAATAGGGAAAATGGGATATATAAATAAAGAACAATAGTGACAGTGTCAGGTGAAATGAGGGAGTTGTAATGTGCAGTGAGGCTTCAAATAAGAAGAAGTCCTTCTTCTGGAAAGGCCATAAAGAATGTCACACTTGTGTTGGGACTTGTGAAATGCGCAGAATTTTACCAAGTAGCAATGAGAGAAAGACATGCCAAGCAAAAGATCAGCATGAGTAGACCTCTACTAGCTTGCTGTCCTCTAAGAATTTGTGCTGTGCCTCCATCAAGGGAAAGCAAGGAGCTAGTTTGCCTGAGCACATGATTTATGAATGACTTACACATGCAATCATAAGAAATAATGCTGGGAAGGCAGGTGAGGGCTCACACACAGAGAGACTTGAATGTCACACTGAGCTGGCTGGCTCTCCTCAGGTGGGAAATAATTGGGGAACTGATGAAGGTGTGAATCCGGAAGGCTGAACTTTAAGAAAGCTGAGACATGGTTTCCTCGCCTATGCAAGGAGCTAAGAAACCACATTTACACTCCAAGCTGATTTAACAAATCAAAGAGAAAATTATCTGTACTTTGAGTCCTGTGTCTGCATTCATCATTAACCTATGAGAAATAGAGTTGTTTAATATGTGGACAGGCAACACAATTTACAGCCACTTTAAAGTTTTTAACAACAGATTTCAACAACCAAACCTAACAACGTTTCATATCTATTTAATATAAACAGTAAAGCCTCAGCTCCAGGCTTTGCTGAGCTTGAGGGCAAGGCTGCTTCTTTTTTTTTTTTTTTTTTTGAGACAGAGTCTCACTCTGTTGCCCAGGCTGGAGTGCAGCGGCACAATCTTGGGTCACTGCAACCTCCACTTCCCAGGTTCAAGAGATTCTCCTGCCTCAGCCTCTCGAGTAGCTGGGATTACAGGCGTGTGCCAGTTCTACTTATTAGTAACAAACTAGTAGCTAATCAAATGCCTACATAATGGTCATGATAAGCCTGTTTAAATAAGTGGTGAGTGGAAGGGAGTTGTTTAACAATCTATCCTTCTTCAGAATCTATAGATCAGCCAGAATATAAAACTAGTAATTATTGGAAGACAAAACAGAAATTCCTTCAAAGAAATCTCTCTCCTCTGTTCTGCTGAAAAGGGCTGGTAAACCTGACATTCCTTCTTTTCTCAGAAGGCAAATCCAACATTTGTTGAAAGTCTGCCTTACAAGGAACCACTGCTTA